GAACGCGAGAATAATTTCCCTAATTTAGCAAAATGCCCTTCCAAAATTCTTTGGCCGAAATAACAACCTTTTCTCGTGCCGTCGAGGAAGGGAAAAATCCGAATTCGGCGTAATACCAGGAATCCGGCTTTCGAGACGCTCCGTATATAGCCAGGCTTTTATCCCCGAACAAGGAGCGACGGGTCTCGAAGGGATCTCAATTCAGAGAGCGGTCCCGCCGGGTTTCGATGAATGGAACCGGCCCGTTTACTTCGGTTATCGCGTTAGGGCGATAGGGATGGCGCCGGCGGTAATGACGCTCCATTGAGGGATGCGGAGGGTGTTCCGGCGACGAGACGTCGCAGCGAAGAGGAGAGGAACGAGCAACCTGTTGCTTTTACGGCGCCGGGATATATCCGCGTGCCTCTCCTCCACGCAGCAGCACCCACACGCAACATGTTGCAATCCCCGAACCTACGACCGTAAAATATTCGCCGCATGGCTCGCGACGGGCTACCCGCTCGTGCTTGAGAGCTGCCTCTCGCGCCGCACGTAGGTGGACAATTTATCGTCGTGGAAGCGTGGCGAGTGAGACGGAGAAAGAGCTTTGTGTTTGCGCGAGGAATCGTGGAGAACTGTTCCCCATTTCCATTCGGCGTCAAATACTTTCCCACTGAAGGAAGGATTTGGTAACGGTCACCAAGATTTGCTGAAACGTTTCAACTACGTTTAACGTTGAAAATTAATAATATGTTTAATTACTGTAACCAAATCACTAACAAACTTGAAAATTGTTAACAATCTTTGTTCTAGTGCGTAGAACAATAAAATCCTCCGAGATATCGATTAACGCGACATGGACATGATAACAATTACGAGACAGATATAATAAAATCGTGGAATATATAAAGATGTATAATGATAAAGGAGTAATTTGGCAAAGGAATACACAAATATCCCGCAGTAATTATACACAAAAGTCTTGGGAGTCGAGCAAATTTCAAGAGAGAGGGAGAGAGAGAGAGAGAGAGAGAGATCTCAATCGGCACCTGTCGGCCTCGTTCCGCATTCCGGAGTGAATCTCGATCACGGAATCGAGGAATATTACCGGATAAAGCCGGCCGCGCCGGATCTCGCAGGCGCGAGAGAGCCGCCTCCGCCGGCACGGCTCGGCGCGGCGCTCGAGATTCTCGAGAGCCCGAGAGACGGGCGCATTTCGATCGATCGTCGGCCGAAGGCAGCACGGCGACGGCCAAAGCGAGCAACGAGAGAAAGAGTGAGGGAAAGAGAAAGAGGGAGAGACCTAGCGCCAAAATAAATCAATAAAATAGCGAACCGAGTCGGGCACGTAGGTAGGTGCATACACGTACGTATGGATACGAGGCGAGGCGAAGAGAGCCGTGGCACGGCGCGGTGTAGATCGGAGCGGCGCGACGGTCGAGAGAGAGAGAGAGAAAGAGTGAGAAGAGAAGAGAGCCGGAGCGAGCGAGCGAGGTCGAGACACGCGGCAGCTGTCTGGCGCCAGGGTCCCCCTGTTCCCTCAAACAGTCGCGCCGAATGCCACCCACCTTAGCCGACCTATCGTGCCATTCTCAAACCTGCATCCCGGGAGCCGGCTTTCCCTCTCTTTCCTACCTACCCTACCCGTTAACCAGCGTTCCTTCCTCCAGCGACCTTCCCTCGTTGTCCTGCGGACGAGCGGCTCGCTCCGTGGCCGACAACACTTTTGACGGATCGACCACTCGTTCCGCAGCCGTTACTTTCGGGGCTCCACGAGTTTTTGTTTCTTTTCTTTTATATGCGGATTCTTCTCGTTTTGATAGGGTACTTTTCGAATATCGGGCGAAGTATACAAGGTAAAAAATTGTGTGTTAAATTTAATACACATTCACATGTCCCAAACGGCCCGCTCAAAAATGTTTGTCTTAATTTAACACAAGGGATGAATGTATTGAAAAACGTAACACAAATATTACGTAAAAAATCAACATGTTAGAAACTAATACGTTAATCGACACTGAAGTATAAAATGTGTTATTTTTACGCTCACACATGTTAAATCACATTGGCACAACATGAAATGCTGGCATAAACACACGTTAAATTAACATATGGGTATGTTATAAATTTAATACACAAATTTTAACAAGGTCCGTTTTTAACACAAGTGCAAAATGTTTTTTACTGCGTAGATAAAACTGAGGACACACACTTTAGTATCTTCGTTTTCTCGGTGTAATTTCTAAGTTGTAAGACGAGGGGAGGATGAGAAATACATTGTCGTCTACAAAAATGTGAAAAGAAGCCCGGCACATGAGAATCGACAATCGAGCCGCGGAATGCTTCGATCGCGGCGGGAGTTGGGAAACGCGCTCGATCGCGTTCTGATATTTCTGTGCTCTCCCGGAAGCAGCGCTCTATCTATAACTGGCTCAAATAAAAAGGCGACGCGCGCGTGTTTATGATTCCGTGCCATCCTCTCCGCGGCTCTAAACTTCGCGTATCGCGTATTATATTGCCGCGCGCAATATCGCGCAAATATACGTGACGTTCACTAAGCCGACGAAAGTGCAATCGCGTCGCCGACGATTCTCGTTTCCGGCAATCGCGCTGCGGCGCCGGCGACAGATCGAGCGTGCGCGTAATGCGTCGCTCTTAAACCCCGAAGGAATTCCACCGAAAGGAAAACCACTCGAAATACTTCGTCATGAAGAAAAAGAGAGAGAGAGAGAGAGAGATGCGTCTTTCACGTTGCGACACCTCAACATTAATCATTTCTCTTTTGCCTTCCTCTCTCGTGTCAAAAATTAAAATTAAATTCGCACAAGTCCCATATATATATTAGAGAGTGAGAACAAAAGTAGCAGAAGCGAAACAACGATTTAAGCGATGCAATTTAACAAGTCTGCACGATTAAGTCGCCGCTCTAAAGACTCACAAGAGAAGCGAGACAGAGTCCGAAGAATTCGTCGGAAAGCAACATTTAATAGCTCCGGGCTATTACGATATAGCAAAGATGTCTTCTCGATTTTGGTACGTAGTAATACAAATTGCATTCTACGTGACCACTCTCGTGTTAAACGCGCAAAATGACACGAACATCGTATCGTCGTCGCCGGTTGTGTCTCGTTTTCTCGTGTAAAATCGCGAGAAACGCGGGAGCGGGCGGGCGTGTACGCAATTTGCTGCCGGCTTGGGAATGTCTGACGTCGTCAGAGCAGTGGCCTTTGCATTGGCAAAGGCAGATAGTAAAAGTAAAGGCCTCCACGTACGAGAGGAAAACTCGCAGCGACGTCGTCAACGTCGCGAACGTTCCTCGCCCGAGTCGATTGTTCGTTCTTTTCCACCGACGACGACGATGACGACGGTGGGAATTCGCGATCGATCGAGCGTGAACACACGCCACACGCTCCAGGCTTGAACCTTACCACCACCACCACCACGAATCAGATTATATCCGCTCAACGTACGATCAGCAGTTTATCTATTAAAATACCTTTGAAGCAAGCTTGATAATTATAAATAAATCAACAATCGCGTTGTAATGCTGTTTCCCATCGTCGGAATTCTTCTTTATTGTCAAGACTGCATTTCTGCATCACACGAGTCGTACCGTTTCCGTATCGTCGAACGGAGAGTATTTTTGAAACAAGCTTCATGATTACTTTTTCCCCCAAAGAAGATAAGAAAGCAAAAAATCTGAATCGAAAACGGAGGAAAAAAAACCGTTTTTCCGAGATTTTAAAACTATATCAGTCTATAGGCTATCTAAATAGGCGCAAACCATCTTTGAGAGCGTCAAAGTAGTATAAAAAAATTTCTACCCTCCGCATCACTGTAATCGTTCGCGTTTCCAGATTCCGTGTCGTCGTGGGAAAAATCTCGGGACGGCGGAAAATGATCGGACAACATCGCGAGCGCGGAATGCAATGCGGGGAAACGTGGCCGTCGTCGTCGACGACGATGCCGATGTCGCGGCGAGAGAACGCGTTCGTTCGCTCTCGCTTTCCTCGTTCTGGCCGGGGCCAAAAGCGTTTCAGGCGTTCCACGAAGCAACGCGAGAGCCCGAGAGCGGCCCGAAAAACGACGAGTTCGCGATCCGCGCGGTGCGTCATGCGTGAAAACCTGCGCGCGCGTCAGCCCCGTGGAACGTGCATGCTGAGGAAATTTCTTCGCCGACCGCCGTCGGACGCCGACGATGCATCACTCCGCCTTTTCGAGAAAATTTCGCAGACCGATTGTCGTAATCGCGTGTCATCGAACGCGAAATCGCCGGGCACATCGAAATACTCGTCGTTCCATCGCGAGGAACGTCGAAACTTTTCTATATCGATATATCCTTGAAATTTCTCGGAGTGGAAAAGTATTTTCACTCGAAGCGATAGCGAAGACAGCGTCACTCGAAATAGCGAGAATGAATGTTTCATTCAAGCTTAAGATGGATTCTGACTCGTTATGAGCAAACGTTCCAATCGACTGGAGTGAACACGTTTCTACGACGGTAGAACGCATTAGATTCGCTCCCCTTCGAGTGAAACGTCATTCGAGGTGACTCGGTGGTCACCCTGCCTTTTCGCGTGAGATATTTGGAGTGCAAAGAGCGCGATTTCGGTAAATTTATCGCTCGTGAAAAATAATGTCCAACGTACGAATTCGCTCTCGTGCATTTCTCTCGCGTAAATTATCCGAAAAGGAAACCCGCCGCGCGAGAAGAGATCGATGGCGTCGATCAAAGTTACCCACGTGGATAGAAGCGCAGCCGTTGATCAGTAGGCGTAAGTCGAAGAGCGGCTTGACGATTAGTCGCGACTCGTGGAGGAAAAAGGAAGGCTAAGAATCGTTTCGCTTATCCGAAAACTCGCTAAAGTCGTGCCGAAATCCGACTCGCCACTTGACAACCCGCTGCTGCTGCCGTCTCGTCGTCATCGTTATAAAGACCCTCGCGGGACGCTCCGTATATCTCTCGACGCAAGACCCGAGAGCGTATGGGGGGATACGTATAACCTTGAGGACATAGTTACCTTCTCCGTTGGTGGTAAGCGAGCCGGGAAGTGGCAGGGGCGTGCTGTTTTTGCACCGACGTTGATCCCCTTCGCTGGGCGCGCGATCTGAAAATAAACGGCAACCCCTTGAGAAGCTTTCCTCGCGCGAGACTATTTCTTCCTCTCCCTCTCTCTCACGTCTCTCATTTTTTCTCTCTTCCTGTCTCCACGCCCGCAACACGCTCGCGCACATACTCCCGTTTTCTTTCTTCCTCTCTCTCACACCTCACGCTTCTTTTTCCGAAAAGACGAGGAGGAGAGCGCAGATGCGTAATCGATCCGAGGGGGCGAGAAATCGACGGGAAAAGACGCGCGAGAATCGACACATCGAGCGATATTGCAACGTAATGCATCGTCACTGTATATGACAAGGTTTGTTATCTCGCGAGAGAGACTTCGACGGGTTCGATTCTCGCGCGAAACGGCTGAAAAAGTCTCGCGTCGCGCAAAAGGCTTACTGTCGGCAGCGAAGTTCCACGTAATCTTCTCATGTACGACCGCACGCCGTGTCTCCCCGCGGCTAATTGACGTAATACCCCAGCCAGGATGCGATTTTTTTCGCTTTATCGAATGGCATAGATACGATTTCCCCGGCAGATGCGTAACGACGGTACGATTGTGCACCGTGTCGGAAAAAAAAAGGAAAAAATTACAACGAAATCTCTTCAGCGGCTCTTAACACCAACATGCGTCGTCTTAATACCGCGAATGTGCACGAGGTAGACGGTCGAGAGCGAACCGAGTAGCAAATTAGCCGGCTTTTCTTGTCTATTTATTGTAAAAAGAGAGAAACGATTCACGGTGACTTGCTACTACTCCTGATTCTCCCGCCGTGCGTTTCCACTCGTCGCCGCGATTAACGGCGTCGACAATTCGCGAGAATTCATGATCGCTCGCCGCGGGTTGCGCGACGATAATTAAGCGCGACGATTTTCACGGGCCGAGACAGAAACGGCCAAGGTAATCGCGGTCGCGTGATTCATAGTTCCTCGTGGAAATTCAAACGTCTCTCTCGTTCTCGCGCTGCCATACGCGGTGGCACAAAGGAGGGTGACAGAATCGTCGAAAATAATGATCCGCCCGGGACGGATAATTTATTCGCCGCGTGCCGTGGCAAAGGTCTCGTGTATAACAGGCGGGAGCGACCGGCTAATTCGCGCGAAACAATGCTAATCTATCCGTTTTCCTCGTAAACGGCCCACGAGCGCTCGATTTAATGCCCACCGAGATTCGTTTGTTTCTCTTGCGCCTCGCAAGGCTCGTCCTTTAATTCGGCTCACAAGAGTTCTTTCAATTTCTACGAACAAAAGCCGCTTATCGTATCCACATGTAGCTTTCAAGATTTATTCAAAAGAATCAAATTCGAATTAAACCGATGAGATTAAATTTGATAATTTAATTAAATCAAATACGAATTAAATTCAAGATAATTGCAGCTTAAGAACCACATGGAAAATCAATTGGTATCAATTCAAGATTCATACTTTCATATATAAGCAAGAATATATAATTCTATACGAATATAAAAGTTGCTTATAAAAAAGTTCATATATTTTCACTAAAAATATCATATTCTTATCATTTGGTAATAATTTTCATGAATTGAGAGGGAAAAATACTGGGCAAAAAGGACGATATCTTTAAACAAATACTTTCTCATTCTTCTGAAATTCTTGATTTGAAGATGTCGTTCTTTTTATCCAGTATTTTTTCCTCTGAATACATGAAAATTATTCTTGATTACGATATTTCTAGTGGAACTATATAGAATTTCTTCACGTAAGCAAGTTTTATCTTCACAATATTATATATTCTTGCTTATATATGAGAATATGAGTCCTGACACTAATATTTATTTCCGTGCAACCGTTTAAAATGAGACGTTCCGTAAATGGAATATCTCAAACGATCGTTGCGCGAATAGCGGGCGCTTAAATTAAAGAAGGTCTCGAGACAAAATGTTTTTTTATTTCGTCCTTTTTGAGGATCGATGGTATGTTAATAATTTTAGAGATAGACCCCCGTAGAAGGCCGGACCCATTCACTAAAAGAGAAGATGACGTCAGAAAAGACAAGTCGGACGAGAGGGCGGTCGCATTCCTTTTGGATTCCACAGGCTCGTTCCTGCGGGAGAAGTATTTCCTGCCGTCGCGCCCAAGAACATTAGAAAGCGATGAGGACGGGCGAGCTAAGAGGGAAAGAGGGCTTCAAGGATCTAGAAGACAGTTCTCTATTTTTAGGACGGAATTATTCGAAAATCCGCCGGCCGTGCCGCCGCTCGTCGACGCAACGGACAAACTCTCGGAAGAGAGAGATGATCGTCTTCCTTCTCTCCTCCTTTCTCGCCAAAATACTCGTCCTGTTTCCCACGCGACCGCTTGTCCGCAGTTGTTACGTAAATAGAACCCGAAACTTGCCCAACTCTTTTCCCAGACAAATTTCCGCCGTCCCCCTCTCGTTACGAGATTAACTTCGATAACATCAAAGTGACAGCAACGACCGGCGGAAATGCGACGATTGTATCGCCGAGGAAATATATATCACTGTCATATTTTTACAATCGGCTAAACATTTCCAAAAATTATCTTCTCGTCTCTCGGCGCTTCTTATTATCTTTCATATTATTGTATCCAACGATCTCTCCACGATGACCGAAAGAAAAGTTGCGCCGATACAATCGTCTTCGCAAATTTGGTCGAACTAAAAATTACGAGATTCGCGACTTGAGTTCTTCGCCTTGGTTTGACTGACTTTCACAGTTTTCAGGATTTTCCCGACTTGCGCGGAAACTCCGATGCGCTACGCGGCAAACAATCGGAGGCGCGCGCAAACGATCAACGGCGCAAATATTTGTTCGTACGATAAGGAACAAATTGACACGCGAACCCGCGGGTTTTTATTATACCCGGTATCGTCGGTGTCCAATACAGCAGCGCGCGCAAATACAATTTATTTACAAAGTGGCCAAGCGGGAAAACGAGCTCGCCGCGCGGTTTTGGCACGCGCGTCACTCCACAAAGGGAACGTAAATATAATTCCGCGAATTACGCGTGTCACCGTAAGCCGTTAAGTGCCACGCGAATCTGCGAGATAGTGTCACCGCCGAGTTTGCAAAAATATATAGCCACGCGGAAGATTCGGCGGCGGCGCCACCGCGCGGCGCTCACCCACCAAGGTGAGCGGATTCGTGAATTATGAGTTTTGGCTTGGGAAACCGCGAGAGAGAAAAAGAGAGAGAGAAAAGGGATGTCACCACGACCGTAACTTCTCTCCTCCGACGACATTAAGTATGGTTTGCGCAAGCCTTGGACACGAAATATTATTTATATGCAAGAGAGAGAGAGAGAGAGAGAGAGAGAGATCAAAAAGTAACATTAGAGCTTCTCTGATAAGGTAATTACAAAAATTATAATTACAATCAACCTACATCGGTTCTTGAAAAGCGGCGATTAATATTTCATCATATGTGATCAAAAGTCTAAGAGCCTTGAAATAATCAACGACGCATTCGGTTTCTGCATGCAAACGACGCATACAGCCTCATAAGGTAACCGGTCACAATTCATCGTTCTGCTAAATCACGAGTATCGTATCGCAACGTAAGTCGTTGTGAATGTCGTGACATTGGAGACCGAGCGACGTCACACATTATAATGCGCCGCGCGGCGTACTCGCGCGATGCGTCGTCGACTAGCGGGTAAAACTGCATCGAATTAGGATCTCGCCGGCGGATCTTCAAAAGCGGAGCGGCGGCATCATCTCGTCGGGCTCCTCCGATCCGGAAATCGGTGCGCGCGCGCCTGAGTGAGCGAACGAACGCGCTCTCTCGATCGCAACTCGCTGCCGGCGCGAGATCGGTACGGCGAAGGAGGCAGCGGAATGCGAGAGAGCCACTCCCGCTGATCGCGGCGATTCGTGGCGGTCGAGCGGAGACGAGAGGAGAGCGAAAGGAGGATGGAGCGGAGAGGATGAAAGAGAGAGAGAGAGATTTCATTATACGGAGTATGCAGCTCCTAACCGCATAGCTCGTCAATAACAGACTTCCCGACGAATTTCAGGTCAAATCTTTTCCCTTCCCGCGAGTTCGACGCGAGTAAGCGCCGCGATCTCTTCGATCTCCGCCGCGGTATCTCGCGTATATCAATCCGGACGACGCTCTGAGCGAAATAGCCGAGTTTGTTTAGAGCTTCGTCATCGGTGGAATAAATGCGGTGGAAGGTGCGCTTCGGGAGGAGAAGGTAAAATCAAACAAACCAACAGGCGCAGAGAACGGAGAGGAACGCGCGAAAGGCACGAGGAGCGGGGAGTAAACGAGGAAGAGCAGAGAGAAGCCGAAGGGTTGCGTGTGTGTAAGGGCAGAGGACGAGAGGAGTGCGTGCGTGCCTGAGTTTGCTCTCTCGACCAAAGTGGGCAAGACGGTGAAAGACTGACGGAGACAGAGAGACGAGCGAGCGAGTAGTAGAGAAAGGGGGGGAGGGTCAAGAGGGAAGAAGAGAGAAGAAGAGAGAGGGATGTATCAAGGACGCCGAAGAAGCGGGTAGGCAAGAGCCAGGCGACAGGCGCCCACCGCTCCGTTCTCGGGGCCTCGTGTTACCGGTATACATCAGCCCCTCCCTTCGGCCGGCGCTAAGGGGCCCTATACGTGCCCTTAACCTCTCGCGGCACGGCTTACGTACGGAGACTTGCGTTCCTTCAAGGTTGTGTACGAAAGTACCGAACGGTCGCGCGCGCGCACGCGACTTTCGACAGCGCCGCGATCTCTATTAGCGTCGCGAATTTTTGTCGAGACGGCGAAGACGTTCCTCAAAATCTGCCTCTTTTTTTCTACATTCGCATCTTATTCATTCCGTTTTCTTTTTTTTCTTTCCAAGGCGACAAAGTCGTTGATTTAATTTTAACTGCGCGAATTTTCCTCCCCACGTACTTAACGTTCGCATCACGCCGCGACGATTGACGTCGCAGATCTTACCGAAGCGAGACGCTCCTCGGAATCTTTTATCACGTTCGCGCTCTATTCACCGGCGTTTTATTGCGGCACAGGCAGAAATTCGCCCGGTGAATTTCATTTTCCACCGTCGCGCGTCAACGCCGGAGCGATTAACGTCGCGAAAATCCGACAGCCCGGGGACGAATCGCGGAGAGAGGAGTTGAAAAAAACGCGAGCCGTGCAACGCGGCGGCGGCGACGCTTGTCCTCGTGCGCGTTTGAAAGGGACTGTTCGCGCGCGCGTTGTCCTTCGTCGTATTCGTTGAAATTTGCGCAACCGCCGGCGGGACTTCGTATCTGACACGGAGCGGGTATCGAGTTACGGCGCACCGCAAAGATTCCTGATCGCACTTCCGTTTTTCCGATAATCCCGCACAGAAAGTTTCTTGGGATCTCATTGCAATCCCAGTGATCTGATTTCCCAAAATAATTATGAATGCAGGCAGAGGTGTGCGAATCGTTCGAGACGAATCACTGTTGGATCTGAAAGGTTCGAGTGGCTTGATAATTTCGAATCATCAGCGGTTCGATAGCAAATCAGTCGATCACTGCAAATTCATACTGTATGATCATAAATTACAGATACTTTGTGAGGTGAACGTGCAATTTGAAAACGCTACTATCAGCATCGCAGAAAGAAGCTTTGTCTCATGTTTCAAATAAGAATGGTGTTCTCAATTGGTATTTTAATGAGATAACCTGTTTTGAGACAACTTTGTGCTTTCTAATAGGAATGTATGCTGTAAATGGGAAAATTTCTACGCGGGACGGGGGACACGCTTATTCACAGCGAAGGGACGGGAACGTACGGGCAACCGGAAGGAACGTCGTCGGCTGATCAACGCTTATCAGATTAATAGAAAAAGTTGTGCGCAATATACTCGCGATACCCAAGCTATAATCGTATAATATATGTATAACTTCGCACAGAAAAGTCTTTCCTGGAACGCCCAATAGATAACGCTCTTATCTACATAATATCTAACTGGAAGCAACAATATACGCGTATGGGATTAGAAATAAAGACGACAAGAAGTTCGAAAAATTTCCCGGTAGGGTGTACGGGTTCGCGGAAAAACGCGGAGGTGATAGGTCAACTCGCAGTCGCATTTTCTCCGCCGAGTAATCCGCCCCGCCGCCGCGTTTCACGAACGCGAGTTCCCTCGGAATGTCCCCCCCCCCCCCNATGTCCCCCCCCCCCCCATGGATTCGACTGAATCTCCGGTACGAACGCGTCCCGCGAACAGCAACAAGTGGCGGGACTTTTATCTCCGGCACGCGGGACGTCGGCGGTGGCCCAGTTTCCGCGACCGGGCGTAAATTCGCGCGCCCGAAAGACAGATTTACGGCGGGTCACTTCGTTCCCGAGGACCGCTCTCCGTTTTCCTCCTACACCGGGGAAGAACGAGCCACTTGCCGGCGCGTGTTTCCCGACGCTCTAGGTCATCGGTATCGCGCCGGCACGCGCATAAAACGGTCGTTATCGAGCCGTTAAGTGTCCGTACTTAACGAATAGCTAACGTTAAAGGCGGCTTTATCCCGATATAAGGAAAGAACCGGTCGCCACTGCGACGCGACGATACTACGCCCCGGCGCCGCTCCGTAAAATTTAACTCACCGATAAACAACGAAATAAAAATGGAAGACCGACCCGTGCGGCTCGGAGAAGATAGGGAGAAATGCCTTGGGAAATTTCGAATTCGCGCGGTTTCGAGACACCACCGTCCAATCGCAACAACCGTTTAAAGCACAAGTGCGCCAACCTCGATCGAGGGCGACGACGTAGGCGGTCTGTATTTATAACGCGCCCTGCGGATTTAATAATACCTTCAAGAACGCCGGACCTTCGCGGCTGGATCCTCTTTATATAAATGCGCGGAGAGGCCCGCGCGGTACGCACGGTCCTCTCTATCGACAGGAGGTATTGACCTCGGGGCGGTACACACCGGCCGCCCAGCAGTATTTCTCCGCCGTTCTGTGTGTGTATATATAAGTGCGTCCATAATCTATAGACGCAGAGACGGACACACATGTACGTCGACGAACGAACGCGCGGTTCTCCTAGCTGCAGGCGCTATTATTTCGTCATATTATGCTTGGCACACAAACGCGCCAGCGGTAACACCGACCGGACGGAGACGCTTACGCTATCGACTATTTTTCACAAGTAACAAACGTCGAGAGTGAAGTAAAAAAAAAAAGAGAAAGAAAAGATACGATATACCGCAACAGCTTCAACGCTATCTCCGACGCTATCGTCCGGTAACCGATATCTAGTAGCGCGGTTTAACTGAAGAGTGCAAGTACCGCGCGACAACAACCCCGGCTACACCATCGATCGTCTTTTTTTCTTATTATTTTACGAACGCTTCACGCAACGAAGAGGACACCGATGAACGGGAGGAATCGGGAGGTACTTAGCACTCTCTCGCGTAATTGCGCAACCAGCTCTCTCGAACGAGAGAACCGTCGCCACCACGGTGGGATTTCTCGACGAAAACGATCGAAAGGCGGTGGCGAATCTATCGATGACTGGAGAGCCGATCCGCGCTCGCTCGCTCGCTCGCGTCGATCCCGAGAGAACCAGTTTAGGATCAAGCACGGATGGAGAGAGAGAAAAGGGAGAGAAACGCGGGAGGCGGCAGTCAAAACCAGGGACGAGGAGAGCGCGCGACGGGAGAGGAGGAAGCGAGAGGTGGACGCGGTCGGCAGAAAATATCGCCGCGAACATCTCTCCCCGGTGTCTTTCTGCGAGTTACGAAGCGGTTTCCTTATGTTTATCGGGGCTTCGATTTTGCGATACTTTGCCCGTGTTTCGCGCGACACATCGCTCGACGCGAACTCGAATTTCCTCGGGGGACAAGCGTCGAAATGACAAATTTTGTGCATCAATCACGCGAGTGAGTCTGAGGGCCACCTCGGTTGTCGGTATTGTTAGTTGAAGAACTACGTTAGTTATTATTATTTAAGTTCACGGGGAAAATTATCCTTTCGGTACAGTAAATACGGAAAAGTTTACGTTTGCGAAGACTTTGTGAATGAAATACAAAAATAAACGAATTACGTGCGATAGGTAGTTTGAATAACAGAATCCTGAGAGAACTGAGAGAAATATTAGAAAAATCAATATTATTCGAGAATTCGCTTCCTGGTATTGATAAACGATTCATTGTTTTCAATTTACTATGTAATATTCTATGTTAAGCTAAGTGAAATATTATATAAATAAATGTAATAAACTGAAAACATAATCTATAGTTTTTAAGTTTTGGACGAAAAAACTCATTTTTCTCATTTTTTTCCGCGAAATTTTTATTTTCCTGCCTTCTTTACCGAGGACAATAAATATGGTGGATTTTAACCAAATACACATAAATTTTTCTAAATGAATTTTCGTAGACGGAAACCGAAAAAATCCGCGGAATAATTGGGGAAGAACAACTTTTTTCACAACTCTAAAACTATAACACAATTTTATAATTTAAGAGATGTTTTATAGGATAATTTATAATCGGAACTTTCGGTATGAAAAAGTAAAAAGCGCGATTTTACGTCGCGTTGAATGTCAATATCGGCGATGCGCGCGAGATCGATCAGCCTCCAGCCCGGTGGGTCGATATTAGCTGGCGGATCAACCGCTGAAACGGCGATACCATGAAACCTATCGGTATATCACGATCAACAGGATCGGCTTACGGCAGCACGTAGTCGCAATCACGACGAATCGCGAGCAAATGCACGTTATTCCGATTTTCGTTTCGTTTACTTGCACTTGTTCAGTTTTTTCTGACATATTCGCAATAAGAATGTTTACTTGTTGACTTTAGCCGCCGAAGGCCCAAAGAACTTCCGAGAACCGTGTTACCAGGATATAACTGTGTATCTGCGTCACAGTGTAGATCCTCATGGCATTCTCACGGTAGTCTTCTGTTTGTCCGCCTTATTGGACGATGTCGCAATATCGAGTTCCCGATGCACGAAAAGAAGCATATCAACACCTGATCTTATTTATCAAGCTTGATCGTCGCGCGCGAATATCCGTCGTCAACGTACGGCAAGTTAATTCGACTCATCGGCGATCGCGTATCAAATTAAAGAAAAGCCACACGTCAGAATGTATAAAAAAGGATATTTTACGATGGAATTAAATATCGCGATAATGCGGCTTTTAAAAAGTAAGTGTGCCAACGAAGGGTTAATCCTGTCATGAAAATTGCCTCGGGATATTAAAATATTATACACCGACCGGTTTGCAATACCGGGATGATTTCAGAGGTGCGAAAATCTGAGAGAGAGAGAAACGGTGTCACGCATTCTCGTCCCGGATTATCCCTAACCTTGCTTTGGGCTAGGTCGTGAGACACAACACACGCTAGGAAAGACGAACCTCGCTGCTTGTACGGCAAACGTTTGCAAGCAATAAACATGAGTTATCGCCGGCATGGTTGCACGAAGACAACAAGCGTGTCCGCACACGCATACACAGACACATATTTATGTACATTCATACGTCGTAGGCACTCCTGATTACGGCGTGAAAGACGAGAAGACACTCACCTTCGGGTCTCAGTCTGTCGGTGATAAGGCAGTACGGGGGTGGCGGCGACTCTGAAATCAAAAGAATGATAGTTAAAACCTTCCATTTTATTTCGTGTCTTTGTAGGAAATACGGAGGTTCAAACAACGATATTTCATTTTAATGTCCTTATTTATATGATTTAATTTGACTTCAATCTTCGTTATTCCCGCTCTAACTTTCCGATATCACTTCTCTTGCGAGAAATACAAGTTTAAGCGACAATAATCTCTCATCGAGTTAGACGTGAAACTTTCAATCTTATGTAGCGTGTTTAGCATACGTAAGCAATTTTATCTCTATTTTGATATTTTTATCTGTAATCTGTAGCTCAAATCTGGCCAATTGTTAGAGGAGGTGGAAGCGGGCATCGTTAAATGATTTATATAACGCATCCACGCTGTCCGTGTATACTACCGTTTCCGTCACTTTCGGCCAAACTTGCTCGGTATCGACCGTGCAGGAGGGCATTGAGAAACGGACCCAAGGTCCCGCGCGGCTTTCGATTAAGTCGAATTAATGGCATACGACGCGAACCAGGACAACGCGAAGTATCGCGCGACATACGACGACGCGGGCGCCCGTTAGAGAGAAGTCCAGGCCCAAAAGCGGCGAGGGATTCTATTATTGGCGCAGCGGCGAAACCGGTATGCCGTTTTTCGTCCTTTTACGTATCGCCCTGAAAGTATAGAGGACAAACCGAGGCGCGAATATCTCAAACGTCAAGGTAACCCGACGCTCCGCACCTAAGAAAACGAAACCCCGCCGTCGCTGGCAGCGCATGGCCGAGATACGTATGTACAAACAAGTAATTGCATCCTCGAGGAACTCACCCGCCGCGACCAAAAAGAGCTCGCTACTCAATTAGCCTTTATCCAGACACTCAATTTGGCCGAACAATACTTCTTCGTGAATACGAATGTTTCGCAAATTAACTTGGCTCAAAAACACCCGCGAAATCAATATCATTAATCAAGCGCTCGATTACACCCTATCGCAATGTTACAATCTGACGAAAACATTTCGGGGACAAAACTAAGTGTGTTGTTGCAAAAATTACTTTTCCTTCGAAATAAACGTGAAATCGATGTGGTGTTCTTTCAAAATATGATACCTCTTGAGCCAACCGTGATCGATGGAGCGATTCTCCTCCAGAGAACACACCGAGGAAGCGCTCCAATTACTCGGACTGATGCGTATTTCGAGACAAGAAAGAAAAAACAAGACACTTCCACGCGAGATTTTATCGTTATATCTGTGGTTATTTGGAAAAAGAAGAAGACCGATTACTTTTATCGGTCGCATCGTTCCTGCAAATAATAACAACCGTCACAAAATACACAGACGGGAGGGATAATCTCCGGGAGGGGACATCCGAAAAGTAAAGAAAATCCATTTCGAAAGACATGTCTGTCGAGCGCGGGCGCGATACGACGCGGGAGAGAAATCGCCCCGAAATTCCTAGACGATAACGAGCGCGACGGCGTAGAGCGCGGCGTCGCGTCGACGCGTAATGGCCGCTTGATGCGCCTACACACACGTGGGATCCTCTCTTTCCCTCCAGAGTCGCGGAGAAGAGCCGACCGGCTGCCGCCGGCGTCGCCGAGCTTTAATAAAAGCCGGCGGCGTGTCGCTCATCGACGCACCTCGAACTTTGAGCTAGAGTTGGCACGATTTGAATAACAAGATGCGCGCGAGTTAAACGGCGATATTTTAGCCTCTAATTAAGGCACTTATAATAAACGCGGCGCTCCCGTGCCGTTACGTAATAAGCCGGCCGCGCCGAGAGTGTCTCCACCTCTCTCCCCTTCCGTCCCGTTCGGGCGGGATACGCGACTCTATAAGCTAACCATTCCTACGCCTGTTTACGCGATTGTCAGTCACGAACGATAAATGTTAATGTACTTATTAACCTACTCATCCCGCCTGGCGCGTCACATATATCGATTTCAAAGCACGGGGAATGTCGCGCGCACGTGCGCGACGACGAGGCGATCAATAAGCGAAGAAGAACTGCACGCCGGCAGTTTTGCAAAAAGTGAAGGAACGTCTCACGAATCGCGGTGGTAAAGTCGCGAGCGCCAAAGTATCGTATCGAATTGATTTGAAAGGTTCGGAAGAAACCGGGCTTTTTTCGGTTTCTTCCTGCAAAAAGCTGGAAAACCTCGTTTCTTCATCTATTTTTTTCCCCATTTTTCCGCGATTTTTCAGTTTCTATCCGTAGAAAAATTGAAAAATACAAACTTTTAAACTATAGATCAAAAGTCGGATACAGGTGATCAGGAGTTTTTGAAATTGGAATTCGAGGAGTCGATCGACTCGACTGGTCAAGTTCCAATCTCCGATCCGTGACCCGTGATTTTTAACAGCCTCAGTCTGATACAAGCTGAGAAATCGCGACATATTATTCCACGTATCGCGCGCGCCGCGACACGTCGTTCGCACCGTCTACCGGCGATAGGATCGTCGTCGTCGTCGCGCAAGAAGAGGAAAAAGAAAAGCGCTACGACACGTGGAAATCGCTTCCTGTGGACTTTCGGACATGAATGAATGCACGCGTTGCGGCGGAAGAGGGGCGGAGAAAGTCGCGCACATTACGCGTCGGAACGTGGCGGCGATAAAAACCTGCGCGACGGTTTGCGTAACGACGACGACGACGACATCACCGCCACCTCCGCCGCCGCCGCCGACCGATGATAATCGATTCGCCGGCGTGAATTATTAACGGCCGCCTCGGCAATGTTCGAACGCCGCCGAATGTAAAAACAGATAAAGACGGCGACTTTGCGTCGCGTTACGAAAACAAGGCGCCACCGCGGGAGCGATTTACGCGGCGATAAAACACGCTCGCGCCGCCGATCTGATACGAAATTAGCGTACGGTATCGGCGATCGCGCTGACAATGGTCGCGCGTCCGAGAACCGACGTGGAGCGTAAATCGAGCTGACGAGAGAGAGAGAGAGAGAGAGAGAGAAAGAGAAAAAAATAGGCGAGAATGCTGCCACCATGATTACTCGTCATCGCGTGTATCGGTTATGTGGGACGGACGGAGGAGCATTCGCTCGCTCTTTGTTGCATCGAATACGGACGCGATACGAATATGCGCGCTATTTCGAGCGACACGGACGCCAAATAACCGCGTGCGCGTTCTACACGGTGTCGTTGCACGTGCGGTACACTAAAATACCCGCGGATCGAGAATCAAATATTTACATCGGCGAAATAAAATGTGTGTCAAGTACACACACGACGATTTCTCGAGCGCGTGTCTTTCGCGAAAGATTTATTCGCGTTTAAGCGCGCGAGAGAGGCTAAATCACACTACTTTCTATCTCTCTCTCTCCTCTTTTTTTCCTCTTCTTCCTCGCGATCACGCGTGTTTCTAAGCCACATACGCTGCGGAAATGATATCATCGGGAATGCGAGCATGTGGATAGTCAACAGTCGCGCGACGAAAGGCTCCGTGTTCGCGCGCCTGAGGTCTTTGTTGTTTTGAACAAGGAAGTTTGATTTAAGTGCCTGCGGAATTTGCTACGCATCGCGCGGCGACGCTCGAATTCCCAGGAAACCTATTCCCGATCCGTCGAAGCTATTAAAACGCGCATCTGTGTCCCAGAGACCGAGATATAATAACATTCGGTACCGGCCAAGACCCCCCCCCCTCCCCGGACGCCTTCGCAGCGCCCAATTTCGGTGAATCACAAAAATCTCGACGATCGAAGGTCGTTGGCGTCGCGAGTGGGCGTATTTACGCCCGCGAACCGCTCCGGTAAATCTACGCGGTCCATAATGCGATCCATCGAACTTTCAACTAATTTGTTCACCCGTAAGGACGAATCGGAGAATCATTCTGCGCTGAAAATTAAATGACGACGTATCAAGATTCAGGAGAATACGTAAATAATAAAATATCATTCCCTCCCTTTCACTCGACTCGAGGCGAACTCCGCGTTAGCGGACATTAAAGTTGCAGCCTTCAATTCTGGCGGTCCCGGCAGCTCATTTTTCCGCGAAATTTTGATCGAACGCGAGGATCGGAACGAGATCGAAAAAACGCCGCTCTATTTTAACGCGAGCCATTCCGCCGATGCGGAGGCGGGATTCGGCGGGGTTTCTCGGCCGATTCGAGGCAAGTCGAAGTGCCTGGTGTCTGTCTGCCTGCCCGCCTTCCTTCCTTCGTTCGTGGGGTTCGACTCAGTTCGGTCAGCTCCTCGGCTAATGCCGGCTGGCCTCGACAATTAGCTGGCGCCAGCAATGACACGCAGCGGCGCCGGCCTGCGCCCCCCTCCCTCCCCCCACTCTCTTTCTCTCTCTTCGCGTCGTCGTGTCCCACCTCGCCACCCCGCGCGACGGTCCCGCCGACGGCCGCGACGGACCGTCCCCGCTCGCACCGCGTATCTCCTCGTCGCCGGTGCGCCGCTGCCCTTCCTAACCGCACATGCTCGGCGCCCCGTCCTCAGTCTGCCACCCGCTCCCTCTTGCCGCCGCTAAGCTCGCTTCGCTCTTTCTCCGTTCGTTCGTTCTTTCTCTCTTTACCTCTCGTCGCCGTCGTTGCCGCCGGTCGACCAACCCTTCCCACTCTCACGTCACCGTCTTTCCGCCAACCGCTACTGACTCGCCCAATATAAGTTTTATTTTTAGATTCATTTCCTTCTCTGGCTATAACTTTGATTGCACGGTTATTGGTCAGCGCTTCTTTCTTTCTCTCTATTCTCTTTCTCCCTCGGTTTTGCTCCCGTGCTCCTTTTTCTCGTCCCTTATTTCCAACATACGTCGCATTATTCTCCGAGTTTTCTCCGAGACTCTCTTTCTTTCTCGACGCTGAGAGCTCGACCTTTTCCTTTCTTCGGGACGCGGTCGGGATGTCTCCGAATTTTACGTACTCTCTCTATCGCTTTTTCCCCAAATGCCTCGGCTTTTTCGTTAAACTCGCGATACGCGAGCGAGCGCGCAATGTTATTAGGTGTGGAAACCTCAGCATCGGAATTCGAGCTATCTTTCATTATTTCGCTCTCTTTCACAAACGCTCGCTGTTAAACGCGCCTGTCCGTCCTCAGCGCGCGGCTTTATCTCCCCGCGAGGGCATAAAATTGCATCGCGATCTGTTTTTCCTCCCCCCTTGCAGCGGAGGTGTGTCGCGTCGCGGATTCAGTCGCGCCTGTCTGATACGATTTTCCAGCAATAACGCTCGATGTTATCGATAAATCGCGCGCTGCGGTGCGCTCGACTGTGACGAATCGTGCGTCGTCGCGCGATTAGACGGCGCCGGTGGACGCTCTCTCGCGTGAATGGTCGCGTCAGAGATCGTATTTTTTTCGGCGCGGCGATTAGACGAGAGAAAAGGAAAAGCCTACAATCGCCCGCGCGCGCCTTCGATCTTACCGAATAAATAACGCTCCGAAATAAATCTTCCGAAAAGAAACGGGACTCCTTTCCTTCTCGTACGCGCGTCTCGATATTCATCACTTTCTTTGCTCTCGACCGCGATTTTAGAATTCTATTGCGTTAATAAACATTTGAATTGCGCGCTTGCAGCAGCGTTATCTTGGTGTTTTTTTTTCCATCGAGTCTTGCCATTCGCGAACTCATCGTCGCTCGCGCGCGTTTTCGATTTATCGCGACGTCACCGAGCGACGTAAACTCTCTATAATCCGTCGCAGAAACATCGCCAGCATCCTCGTCGAAGCGCGCGCGCGCGCCGGCGTGTCGACGACGTAATTAGCCGGCATTATTTATCGGCTCAATTAACGAGACTTACGAGAATGGATCTCTTATCCGAGAATTAAATATTTATCCGCACGGCCGCGAGGCGTATCCTCGGCGCCGCCTAATGCTCGTTTATTTCGTACGGGCCAAACTTGCTATCGGCTATTTATTATGCACATCAAGTTTCCTCTGTATTTTTATAATTCATGCCACGAGGCGCGGCGTGCGTGCGTGTGTATGCGTGTCGCCGTCCAGATTCTCGATCTAATGTTTGCACATCGTGTCGAATTAAAATTAATTAAAAGGAGGAACATAAATTTGCCGTATCGAGCCATTTCTGACGTTAAGTCATTCCGAATACTTCAAGACAATTTCGAAACCCGAACTCGCTGGCGTATTCTGACGAGCGCTCAAATCTATCTCGTGCATGTGTCGTTTAAAGAAATAACCGGATTTCCAGCAGTTACATCATTATGTCCGAAATAGAAGTCGATATCTTTCAGATATCTTTGGAAGAATTAAAAATATTAAATAACTAAGCTCTACCAAAATTTTAGTTTTGAAGGTACGGAAAGAATCCGGTTTTTATCCAAATTTCCCGTTGATTTCTTCGGCTTCTGTCTTCTGAAGGGCTGGAAAACACCCGTTTAGAAAAATTTGCGTATATTCAATTAAAACCTATTATATTTACTTATTTCCGTGTGGAAGATAAGAAATCCACGGAAAAATTGGAAGAGAAAAAAAAGGTTTTTTCCGAGTTTTCAAAATTATAATCTGAATAAATATTCTTGTCGCAATCGAATGACAAGTTGCTACGACCGGACGCTTCTCGAAATGATATTCTTCGCTTACGTGCGTTAAAACACCGCGCGCCGGCGATCGAATTCGCTCTCGTCGGACCTCACGGCGGGTTAAACGATCACCGGGGTACGTAAAGGCGCGTTCTGCTGGCGCCTGCTCGCTCGTTCGCTCGCCCGCACTTTGTAGGATGCGCTTTTTCGCGCTCGAAGTTACGTACGCAACGGTGACCGTCGACGAAGAATCCCGACAAGTCTCGGGACTGACCGAAGGACAGTCAATTCCAGAGATGCTCATAAATTTCGAACTCCTCTTAAACCCGACAAAAGAACATTTACGCGAAGCGTAAAATATCAGTCGCACGATACAGTTGCTGGTACATACACGAGAAGAGACACCGTTGAGAAGTTGAAAGTGCCTTTGTGAACAAAAACTTTCGAAAGTCGACGTCGAGATTGTCGCGTTTGCTCGTTAATATTAAAATGGATGTGATGATGTGTGATGGTTATCAGTCGACCGTGACATTCCAAACATTACAAGTTGATGAAGAAACTCGTGGAAATTGTTAACTTTTTTTCACAACGCTTATATTTTGCGATGCACACGCGAACCGTCGTTCACGTGCACATTGAAAATTCTAAACGTTCGGAATCGAATAAAATTCTATCATTCCGTCAAAGCTAATGTCTTTTGAGAGCTTGTATGCAGAATAATAATCGACACACACACACAAGCGTAACACGAGTTAATCGATTAACTCGACGAGTCTCGCGAAATTGCGCGTGTCGCGCTTTTAAATTCAAGGAGCGACATTGGTTTTTCTTTTGCGCAAATAACACGTGTCTCCGTCGCTCGGCGGCTTCTCGACTTTCGCGTTGCTAGGAGATCGTCGATATTGACACTCGACACACCTCGGGACTCCTCGCGAGAATGTATATTGCCTGTCTATATTTCGAACGTAACAAGGTAGAAGACGCCAGCCTAATCCTCGCGTCTATTGGTAATAAATTACCGTTTTACATCAGTCCGAGTCTTTAGGCTCGTTAGCACCGAGAGCGAGACGCGCGGGCAGGTGACGATTAGCGTGCGGTTTACTGCCGTTACAATGCCAGCTGTACACGACGTTAAATTATGCCGGTGTCAACGGCTAGACACACGCCCGACATCGTTAAACAGCACGGTCGCGTCCCCGATTCTTTGTGTATTTTCGGCATATATGTGTTTGATCGTCGAGCGATGCGGCAGCGGTGAAAAAATTCTCTATTCTGAATATCTAGCGCGGAGAAAAGTTATGTATTAGTTTTCCTCTTGACGCCCGGCAACTTATATGTGATTCGGCCAACTTTTCTTGTAGTAATGATAATCATTCTTATTAACGGAGGAAAACCTATTTAACATACAATACAAAATAGTCTCGTGGATGTCGTCTGTGTGGAATATGAGAAAGAGAAATAGCTATTATATATATGAAGGAAAAATAAAAAGAATTGATTGATTTTATCAGTGCATAGAAGAGAGTTAAGAAATCGCACGCATGATGGATTCTTCGAATGCTACAGATGATGACGAAATCAGTAGGATTAGATAATAAATTCGCAGCAACACACAACCGACTTACATTGAAATACGAGTACATTTTGTATAATGTTCTTGTTGGACTACGGAGAAAAGAAGGTACTGCCTAAGAGATCTTGGCGGCACATTAAGCCTTATTGCCTTTCTTAACATATATAGACTATATTATCCAATTAAGATAAAATTATGCTTCGGTAATCGATGATGAGCAAATATCGTCGGCTATCGAAATTACCTCGAGCATAATAAAATGAAAACAATGACGCCACGAATTCGGCCACTTGAGGATAGCGCGAGAACACTATCGATAATTCGATCGCCGGCGAGTTTCGGTGTACACAACATTCGGGATGTATTAGCGCGGATTAGCGTGCGCGCATTACGTAATTCGCAAGTCGGTCCGATATCTTCGGTTCATCTTCGGGCGGTTTATTTCTTGATCAGAGAGTATTACTGTATCTGGAGTCTACCGGCAAACTTACGGGACAAATTCTATGTTGAAGGATAAGTGAAACAGTCTCTTAGTATATAGTCTCTAGTATATAGTCCGCAAAAGCTTGGTTTTCGAGATGTGTCTTTCGGAAGACGACATGATAAAAGAAAATGTGTCCCGATAAGTGGATTAAGGAAGCTAACGCAATACTTTCTCTACCTGTTCTTGAAGATTAATATTTTTCAATTTTTATATTTCTGTAAAAATGACCTAGACGAACTGCTCCAAGAATCCAATATGGTTAGATTCGTTAGAAATAGTGAAGTAATATTCGAACATGTGCGCGCATCTTGACTCCACAGATGTCAATTGTGCATTGATAAGGGAGGCAGGTATTTCGAACAATTTTTATAACGACATCTGTCTAGTTATTCATTTGTGAAGCACGATTTAACGAGTAGAATATATTTGTTAAAACTGCGATCACGGCAACCACGTCTCAGAAACCAATTGTTCGAATACATACATTCACCAAGTTTCTTTACTTATTTCTTAATATAGAATCCTATCCTGTGAGTTTGTCGGTGGAGTTCGTGTACACCGAGGCTCGTATTCTGAACGCGCTAACAAGACAAGAGACGCGAACATTCTCGCTTGTCTTTCTAAACACGGCGGTAACCGTGCTCTGTTTGAAACAATCAATGATCACGACAAGTTGACTCGTTAGTAACATCGATGTACGTACGTTCGAACGTACGGGCTCGTGTAAGTGACGGAGATAAATAAAACGGGGGGGATTCACTCACCGGGTTTGCAGAGCCGGCTCCAGTGGTAAGGGTTGCAGCATATATATACGGGGTCTTTAGCGGAATGGCAGATAGGAAGTCTCTTGAGCTCCGAGGAGTGCTCGAGATCCGGCCACCGCCAGATCTGGCAGCAGAGCAGGTGCGGGTCGCTCGGTGCGCTGCTCTCGGCCGCCGACGGTCCTCCTCCTCTCACCGGCACGACGCCGCTGCCGACGGCGCTTCCCGCTTTGCCGCAGTACCTCTCGTCGGCCGACCTCATCGGCGACGTGGACTCCTCGGAGCAGCTCTCCTGCTCGTCCTCGATGGAGGACGAACGGTGATGTCGGGAGCGGTGGTGGCGATAATGACGATAGCGCTGATGATGGAAATGACGGGGATGGTGACGATGCGGCCTGCCGCCGTATTGCTGTTGCTGCTCGTGCTGCTGGTGATCGTACGTCGAGCGGTGATGATCGTCGAGTCCTCGCTGCTGACGTGGCACGAGGATGCACGAGCCGAGATCGGCGCCGTAGCTCTCGACGGCGCTCAACAGCATCTCCAGCTGATTCTCCTTGAGCGTCTTGAGGAGCTCCTTGCACCTCATCAATCTGCTGGGATCCTCGTCGTCATCCTGGCTCGAGTCGCCGCCGCAGCAGCCTTGGTGGAGCCTGCTGGTGGACGACGACGTCGTCGTCGTCGTCGTGGTGGCGGTGGTGGTGGTGATGCGGCCGTATCCCGCGCCCGCTGACAACGCTGCCGCCGCTCCTCCTCGCACCGCGCTCCTCCTGCTCACTCGACCCGCCGTCGCGTTGTTGTTGTTATTATTGTTGTTGTTGCTGCTCGTATCGTAACCGCCGGCAACGCCGCTCGTGTTGCTAGTGCGATGAATACGTGACGAGTCCTCTTGAGCTTCACACTCGGTTTCATGCTCCCCACGGACCTTGGCCTTTAGCAGACGTTTAGTGAGCACCGTCCGTTTGCTCCAGAACATGAACATGAAACAAGATTTGCGGTACGTGCATTTGGTGGCCAGTCCTTTTCAACGTTGCCGCCTAGGAAAACAAAAGGAGGAGGACCGGACGGGGGGGGAGGGGGGCCAGACCACACGCGGTCGGCCGGGCGATCCCGCCGACGTTTCGGGGCCCACAAGCGCTGGCCACCTTCTCCCTCTTCGAGCACCCTCCGCTGGATATATCTCTCTCTCTTACTTTCCTCCTGTGCGTTCGCCTTCTTCTTCCGCTTCTCACCAAACACGAAGTACGCACCGTCGAACACTTTTTCCCGCGAGGACACACGCGAAAACCGGGGGATCACAGACGGCGCAGCACGTACCACTCACACACATATACGTCTCTCTCACGCACACACACATACACACAGTCGCGTGTGTATTTATTTATGCCCGCGCGTATCTCGCGCGCACTTTGGATCACGGTCCCGAAATAGTGTGACAGTCCACCGCGGCGCAGCAGAGAGCTCCGTTCCCTCGCGGATCCTCTCCTCTCTCTCCCTTCTTCCCCTTTCTCCGGCCTGCTGCTCCGCCCGGCCGGCGGTAGTTACGGGCCGATGTGCGCGTCTCGCAGCCGGGAATATTTCCGACTTCCAACGAGACCGGCGACGACGATGGGAAGAAGAAGAACGAGCGTCGGTCCGGTTCTGTTCGTCGAGTGAGTACCTCGATCGCGTAAACGTGCTCTGGTCCAACACCGCCACCGTTACCGGCAGACCTTGAACTCTCATTTACGTGAGCTCTCGGCTGGCCAATTGTTGACTGTTGTGTTCTTCCTGCTTTCGGAACAGGGTCTCCTCTCGTCGAGATCCGTCGACCAATCTCCGACGCGAGAGCTCTTCCGAGAATGTTTTCCCGACCTGCCTTTCCTCAAGTGTTCTTCGAACCTCCCTCGCACGACGGATTCTAGTCCCTCTCGTTAGTTCCGCTTTATCGTGGCCGACACGGTACGACGAAAACAATCCGCAGGACGTCCGTGAGCGACTGTCGGCATCGCGCCGACAGCGACTCGCAGACGCCAGTCGTCGACGCGCGTCGTCGGCGGCCGCGGCGCGCGGACGTACAAGCGCGCACACCACGCGCGCGAATCGCCGCGAGCGAGCGAAGGAACGGATCGCGCACACACGGTGCAACGGTCACCGTCGAGGTTACTGACGGCCGCGCACTGCTACTGCTGTATCGTCGTACGCTTCTTCTTATCCGTCGCACGTACGGGAGAGAGAAAGAAGATGAGGGGAGGGGGCAGTGGAGGGGGGAGGGTAGACACGAATCGGTCGGCGCACGCACGACACCCGGCCTTTACTTTCCTCGACCGTCGCGGTATCGAGGGCGACGCGCGGTGCCTTAACCTCGCGACCCGACACCAACACACACACGTGAGACGATGTGCGCGAATTCGTTGGGTGTGTGTATACACACACCGGCGACGTCGCGCCGCGAAAATCTCCCCGCGGCGGCGCCGCTGATCCTCTTCAGGAGCTCGCGACTCTCGTCAGCTGCTGCGATGACGACGGCGTTGCCGTGGTGTAGTAGCCCGACCTCGCTCGCGACAGAACGCGATAACGTCGTTCCCGGTGATCTCGCGCCGTCGCCAATGCCGGCGACGCGCCGGCACCGCGTAGCGACGATGACGACGAGCACGACGACGATCGCCACCGCCGCCGCGACGACACTCTTCCAACAACCTCGGACTCACGATCGTCGCTCCGTTGATCACTCCCCGTCATCCGTGCGCGCGTATCACCGAGTGACATTTTCCGCTCGCATCGTCCGTCCTTCTTTCCCTTCTTCTGTCTCTTCTATCCACCACACCGTCCCTTCTCTTTCACCGTGACGACGCGCCGCGATCCATCGCCGGCCGCTACTACCGCTCGCGAAAACTCGTTCGTCGCGCGAACCACCCGACCGAACGCGAGGACGCGCACTGTCACATTCTTGAAATCGCTCGGTCGCGCTGGAGATGCAACGGGAGAACGGGGAAAGGTGTATACGACGGACAGATAGTGGGAGAGACCGGCGCACCGGATCGGATGCGTAACTCGTACGTACGCGCGAGAGAGAGAGGCACTTCGCGGACGATGACGAAAACGAGATCGTCGCGTAACGATGTTACTGCGCGTTTCTTTTCTCGATCTACGCAGCGCGGTCTCGTCACCCTCTTCTTCGCCTCCTTCTCGCAATATCGTTCGCGCGAACTGACCGACGTTCGTCGCGGGACGAACTGTTGCGCGCGACTGACCACGGCGCACGACTCCGACTCGGCTATGCTCGGCAACGCGACTGGCACGCACGAGGTCTCTCCGTATGAGAGCGTGCTCACCGATTTCCACCACCGCCGTCGTCCTCCTCCTCCTCACCCGCGCCGTCCGCTTCTTCTCCCCCTCACGGCTCGTCCCGTCTCGGCGCGCCGATACACCGACCGCAGCATACTAAACACACAAAGTAGATTGTCAAACATGGCCGCGCCAGCAGCGGAGGCGCCACAGTCGGCGAGTAGCGCGGCTCGTTTTATCGCGCGCGCGTCCACGGCGCCGGCCGAGTCGAAAAAGCCAGCCGTCGCCTGACTCGAATTCGAGTCGAAATTCTGGCCGCGCTAGCGGAATGTATAACGACTCCCGCGAGCGGGATTTAAATGTACCGTTACGACCTTTCGCGTCAATTATCGCGCGGGGCCCCGATGCGATGAATGGAATATTGTTTTTGCGTACGATAAGGACGACTCGCATCAATCTCTCTGATTAACTCTTCGACCAGCGCGCTTCTGAAAAAACGCTCGCACCGGGCGAACAGGGTCATATTGATCCTGTGCGATTGTCTGAATCTCGAAAACTGTGGAAAAAGATTTTTGCCGCGGAAGCACCAAGTATTGATGTTGGCGACTTTTTTTACGGCCCGACTTCTAAAAATCCTCAACACGCCCTATTTCTCAAATTTCTATTTTGGCTATTACTATTTTCTAAAATACAGATCATTTTTAGACGCAATTGTTGAAAAATCCTTTACACGATACATTTTGATAATTGTCACCAAATTCAGCGTGGAAATCAGCACGACAGTCAACATGTTAATCTGAGTTTAATGCGAGGAAGTCACCCTGTGCGTCCCTAAAAATCAACGTCGGCGATTCTCACAGGGACTTCTGAGCCTCGCTTAATGTTAAAATATTGTTATTCCGAGATATATAGCTGAATCATGCACACGTTTCTACCAATTTGTGTCTGTACGAGAAAAATGGGAACCATCGAGGATAATACATATAGATATGTGTTACTCGATATCGCGAGAAAGATGATAAGGGCGAGTGGGTTCGATGATAGCGAAGGTTCGGACACGATAATAACGAAGGTAGAGGATGCAGATAGCGTCAAAGGTGGAAGGGAACGGTCGTCCGCCGAAGCAGACTGACGCCAACCATCGTCTCGACGTCTCAGCGCAAGTCGCCGGGTTACGTCCCGTCTCGGAGGAGGTCAACATTCCAGGACGAATTTCAGTCACGATATCTTCCGTACCGACCCATCCCATCGGTCCCACCGTCGACAAAGAAACGCCGGCGAAGGACAAACGGACGCCACTATCGGATGACAAAGGAAATGACAAGGAGACAGTGCGGCGCGACGAATCGCCGGGAGCGTGCGTCGCGTTGTTTTTCGAGTTGTACAACAATACGATGTGGACTGGCTGGCGCGTGACCGCCGATATTTACCGTCATTAGCTTATTACAATATTAACTTCAGACCTTTTTACCAATCCGCTATCAAATCGCACAAAAATAGTACCGTCTGACGTCTCGCAGATGCATCGTAAACACCGCACAGTAAACAATTTTGCTTTAAAAACGGTCCACTGACATTTTTGCGTTAATGACACTTAACATGGGAAATATGTAAAGTATGTAAAAGTACATAAATATAATGTTAAATTTACAATAGATACCCTTCCGTTCAATAGATATCTTTCAAAGATTCGTGTTTCAACTGAAAAAAAAAAGGTAAAATAGGAAGTTAAGTGTTAATACCTTCCGGGGTTGGTAGGTCACTTTCGGAGTCCACAAGAATTGTTTGTATAGACATCATCGTTTGTAGACTATGATGGAAAATTTAAAAACATGTAAGAAATGATGTTTTATGACAACAACTTATTCTTATGGCTTACCAACTCAGGAAGCTGTTTATGCTTGACGTCTTTTTTACCCGTTTTTTTTTCAGTTAAAACACGGTTCGTGTATGTTTCGACTCGGGAGGACTCTGAATTTGTCCACGATTTTGGTGAAAATGAAAATCTCGTGTTCGAATGATCGGGAGTGCCGGAAGTGAGTGTGATGACGAAAGAAGCGTCGAAAGCGGATATCGCGTGAAACGAGCTGTTGGGAGTGCCGAGCAAAGTATTGCGCGATCGTCATGGAGGTTAGATCACGTTTCCTGCTTTTTATATTTTGGACTCGCTAAAGACTCATCTACAAATGATTGTTATTGGATGTATCAAAGGTGAGTCTCCTGCGTTCATCATAGCTGAACATCATCAAAAAATGGTATAAGTGAATATCTCGCGAAACGGGCAGTCCCCATCGAAGGTCGAGAGTACTGACGTTTTGAGAGTTGCAACTGTCGTGTACACCAGATCAATCTAGTAGCGCATTGCGACGTGGAAAATAATTGGAATAATAAGGAGACATCGCTTCGCATGTATCAGCTTCCTATCTGTTGAAATGACACAAATATATCAGTTACTCACGAAGTTTGTCAATATCCTGGTCACTCGCACTTGTCAATGTAGACGTCCAGTCTGCAACAGAAATTGATCGCGTGCTCGTTTCTTTGATGATAGTAACATTAATATTTTGTTACGGAAAACGTATTAAAACATTTGTTATTATATACTACCGCGGAAAATTGTTATAAAATCGGCTGGAGCGGGTAGATTGAATTTATGACTTCCATCCGAGCGTCAGACTCGGAAAAATGTCCGCCTCGTCTTTATCTTCGGAGCTCGGTACAGATAATATTGTATTGTCCTGAGAGATAATATTGCATTGTTCGGAGAATCGCTCTCGAGGAGGGATCATCTGTACTGCGACGTACATCGATGTCATTGCAACGCATCGCTCGCGATATCATGATCACGCAACGATAAATAATTATTGTAACGCGAACTCATCGTCAAGGGGGGAGTTTCGATGTCGGACCGGAAGTAACGGCGCGTCACCTGCTCGTCGACCTACTCGCGAAAACTCGCTGGATGAATGTGCGCGCTGATGTCACCGCGACCGAGCTGACGAGGGACTTTCGAGACCAAGGTCGAGCGAAAATTCACGAGATTTAATTTTCGGAGGTGACGACAACCGGCCGGCCGAGCGTTGAACTTGGAAAAATGTCTGTCCGGCAGGTGCGCGCGTTCTGCCCATTCGGCCGTTGACTTCGCACCGCAGAGCACTGTATCGGCGCATCGGCCCAGCCGCTTGTAATATCGCGGCCGAATAATTAAACAATAAAAATGTGCAATTTATGTTGGCCGAAAGAGAAGCGCGCGTTCAATTTGGATCGTAACGGCGTCGGCCGACACTAGAGCAGGGCGGAACAGGTATACACAGGCCGGTGAGTGGTGGTAATGGTAGTCGGGCGAAACGCTAAAAAAGGATCGCGAATGGCATACCAGTGTGCAGAGCCGCAAGGATCGTCGCTCGTAAATTTTCTAATTTTAGAAACCCGTTTCGCGATCCCGCGGACGAAATTTTGTAATAGGCTGCATATAGCCTCGCCCGGTCTCGTCCGCCCGGCGACAACGACTTTATAGTTGCGGGAGCCTGTAATTTCGTATTTCTTTAATCGAAACGCCGTCGTAACATAGCGTAACACGCGATTGCCCCAAGTGTCATCGTCGTGCATCCCCCGTATTCCTCCGATCGCGTCGAAATTCCACGAAGATCGAGTCATTCGGCATCGATCAAATTTTCATGTCAAGCGCGCGCTACGCGACACTGGCGCGGAAGGTTATTCGGTCGGAAATAACGAGACGGAAAGTGCGGTTTGCGCAATGAGAAAAATAATAGGAACGAAGCCGCGCGGTTTATACGACGCGTGTACCGGCTCGATATCTCGTTCCACAATCGCCTGCCTTAAAATAGTGAGTGACGTTAGATATTTATGCAGCGCATTATTCGCGCGCGACTTGTCGCTGCGAGCGAGACACGCATAGTTTTTAACCGCGAAGAAGACCGCGGCTGGACTGTCGGGCGAGTGTCGACGCGAGACCGCTTTATGAACTTGAGAAACGCTAAGCAGCGTGATGAACCTCCAGACACGCACGAGTAATCGAGCTCTTCGAATATCCGACGATCGATCCGGCTCTTTTCGAGCCGAGCTGAGCGAAATTGTTCTCCAATTGTTTTCCAAATATACGAAGATCGCACGGTTGCAAGATTACTTTGCCGAATCTATCAATTATTTTGCTGTAAGAATAAATCAATTAGTAGATGTATGAAATCAATTAGTAGATGTATGAAAAATATAAGTTTTATGTCTCAACGGCGAATTAACGTTTCTCAAGGATAACTTAACGGAATATTTTCTATCCTGGCAACTGTTTCTGCTCTAATTATTAGGTTGGTGCGTATGAAATGTCGCATTCTCTTTACATGCGGACGTTTTCCTCCCTGTTTTCGTTATACTTTTGTATTTGGCATAACCTCATTCATACTCGTATTGTCCATTGCCAGAGACTCATTTCAACAAAATAGGTTTTCTCGAAGGTCTTCCCTTTTTTATTTCTTTTGAGTTTATTACCGATATGAATTCTGCCGACATTCGCGTCATTTTCTTATATGAGTACAAACTTGGTAATAGTGCTGCAAAAGCTGCACGCAACATAAACCAAGCGTTTGGGGAGAATACGGTTAACAATCGGAAAGTGCAGCGTTGGTTCGAAAAATTTCGGACTGGCGATTTTTCACTGCAAAATGAGCCGCGCGGAAGACCCAAAACGTCTGTGAATAATGATGACCTGAAGGCTCTAGTGGAAGCGGATCCAGCCGTATCCACGAGGGAACTTGCTATCAGGATGAAAGTTGACCATACAACGATATTGAGACACCAAATTGTACTCCCATCGCTTGTGAATCGGCATGGCCCGCTACTGCTCCATGACAACGCTCGGCCGCACACATCGCACAAAACAATTGCGAAACTGAACGAACTGGAATATGAAGTTTTGCAGCATCCACCATATTCACCGGATCTCTCGCCGACCGATTTTCATTTTTTCAAGCATTTAGAGCTGTTTTTAAGAGGCAAACACCATGAAAATGAAGACAGTCTAAAAAACTCGATATCAGAGTTTATTAATTCTAAAGACCAAAATTTTTTTAAGACAGGCATCTACGCTTTAAAATCTCGTTGGGAGAAGTGTATTGAAGCGAATGGAGCATACTTTGATTGAATAAACAGCTTTTGAAGAAAGATATACAGTTTTATACAATCACTTAAGAATCCGACATTTCATATGCACCAACCTAATACGAATAATTCGTTAGTTTGCAACAAATATACGGTAGCAGCTATGGTTTCGCTACGATAGCAAGAGTATTTTTCTCCGTGTGACTACATTATATGTCAAAGTTAAACCTGACTTTCTCCATAATTTTCGTCGTACATTTTTTTCAATTACTGTTTACTACAGAATGTAGTATTTTTGTGATATTTTAACATACAATATCGCCTAACATGTATCGAAAATATGTGCAAAAATATGTCACACAGAAATAAGACAATCTATTTATTTGCCCTGAATTTCTGCACAGCGCGGTGGAGCGAATCGCGCAAAATAGTCTGAGACAAATCACAGATTTCGCCAGGGTCCGACGCGAGTGTCTCTCTTCTCGCGGCCGGGTCGCGACGGGTCGCGACGAGGGTCTAGACGCGTTATTTCACCGTCGGAGTCCGCTGCCGAAATGATATAGAATTTAGGAAGTTATTTAGTTATGTACGTCTGGCGTCCCGTGCTCTGGCTAGTAATCAGACGCCTGGCCTCCGCGAACGCTGTCCGTCCGTCTCCCTCCGACTCCTTTCCGCCCTTACCTTCCCTTCCCGCGCTCCTCGTCCCACACTCTCGCTCCTCGCTCGCCCCCTCTCGCTCGTCCGGCCGGTAAAGCTCGCGGTAAATTCTTCAGGGCCGTCCGCGTTCCCGGTGCCTCGATGTCTCGGTCCAATTAAATGTCGATCAAGGCGGCCCTAGCCCAAGGTATACGGACGTTCCGAACAAAAAGATCTCGTTTAGTCCGCACGCTAAGAAACAGAGGGAGGAAGAGAGAGAGAGAGAGGAGGGGAGGAAGCAGGATGAGGTGGAGAGTGTTCGTTTGTCCGTATATCCGCGACGAGACGCACGAATTATTCTCGCTCGGGGATACAAAGCGCCTTTCAGCGTTTCCTTTGACGAATACAGATTTCGCAGTGAGAAAAGGCAAGAGAGACGAGTGAAGCTTCTTCGGCCGCGACAACTTCTTTATGCGTCGTAAATATAATTCTTGCGGGGATAATCGTGTAATTATTTTCTCCCGAAGCATATCCTCGTGGCGCAAAATTAGATTAGGAATTGATCGCGATCATCCGTGTATTGCTAAATAGGCGAACAAAGGATAAAATAAAATAAAATCTGCAACTCTCCGAGGAGAATTCAAATTTGCCTTTAATGATCATTCAATTAATACTCAAAGATGTGCTAATCTAACTTTTTACCGTGGTTATTAATTAATAATTATTTAGCAAGTCAGTAGCAACTGTTTGAACGAGCCTCCGTGATATTCACGTCACGACGAGCGAACTACGCGAAACGGTGTAGGATCGCGCGATCGTACTTTTATTTTGTTCTATTTCTAAACGTGAAAATTACTCGCATGCCCGCCACCACTCCGCGGGAGCGTGGCGCCATTCTTGACATATCGCAACCGATGGCACCGGGGAATGCTCGATCGTTGCGCTACGCGACGGAATATAGAAACGCCGACGTTCCATCGATATCTTCAAAAATATCATCGTCAGAAAAAACTTGTGAAATTTTTCAGAGCTAATAACACACATCCTTAAATGACCGTCATTATGATATTATTATTATATTATTATTATATATATTACGATAATATAACTATATTGATTAATTAATATAATGAATTATAATTCTATTATAATGTCATAATGACTAGATTTCTGTAACGAAAACAAATGAGCGAGTTTTTTTCAAACAAACGGGACATAATGACTTCCCGAGAAAAATGATCTAATTGTCTTGCATAGGAGAAACTGCTAGATTCAAGTAAACAATTACTTCAACGGTATTCCAATCCTTAGCAAATATATTTTTACTTGGATCGAGTAATGTTTATTTGACACACAAATGAAAACTTGCTAAGAAACATCGTAGTAATTATTCAGTCGAATCTACCACCTATTTATCGAGCGCCCCCAATTTGATAGATTCCCAATTTTCAGAACGACCTGCCGGGCAAGATCCACTCATTAGCGAATCGCATTACCCGTGTAAATGTCGTGCACACGCGCGCGCGTTCTTAAATTGGACATCGCGCGGCGCACGAGCCGCATGGGGACGACGTCTCGCGGCATAAGCACCGGCGCCCGCTAGAAACAATGCAGCGCGATAGGAATGCCGAGCTCGCGCAAATAGAATGAGACGAGGGTCGTCTCTTCCCGAAAGGTCGCGACGTCACCTTTCGTTTTGACGACATCCTCGGTCGCGCGACGTCGCTCGTCGTGTCGCTCGCGCGACTCTTTCGTGTCGCGGAGGAAGATTATTAATGAAACAGCCTAACGCCAATTACCACTGGTAAAACGACGCTCGCCCTCCGTTCGGCTCTGATATTAACACGCGTGCTCGTTTTGCCGTCGCGGCCGTTTGCAATTCCGCGCATCGGCGGCTGATCGATCGCGATTCACGGACCCGGACGAGAAGAAGTCGACAATGGCGCGCGTGGGTGGCCGGTGGGACGTCGTGCGATGAATAAATAATAATTGAAATTTCAGCGCCGACGCCGTGACTAATTGGCGAGTCGTAAATGCGCGCGCGAAAAGCGAGAAAAATACGCGCGTGGAAGAGGAGATCTTTCCGAGACTTTCCGAGAATACACACTCGCTCGACGCTGCCGGCGCCGCGCGCGCGACAAGGCAGAGAGGTATGATTGACGACGCGTTGACGTTGTCACGCCGCGCACAAACGAGGGAGCGGCCGCCTCTCTCGCATGGAAAACATTTTCAGTCTCGCGGCATTTTTGCGCCGTTAGCCGCGCCGCGAGATTACAAACATGGAAAGTGGGTATATTGCAAGTCCTACTCATTCTCTCTCTCTTTCTCTCTCGTGCGTTATTATAATTATCCTCGAGTATCGCGCCGCCGAGTTCTGCAACTCCTATTGAAAATAAAAAGGAAAAAATGGAAAAGAAGCGACACATTGCCTCGTGTTCCGTAATGCTTCGCGATTAGCACGTTGAATACCGCAGCGGTCACCGGTGGCGACCGACGCTATGATATTGACGCGTCTCATAAATATTGAAAGGAAAAAATAATAATCTCATTAAAATTACAGTACTTCTCGGCGCCAGCAGTATTTTTTTGACTTAACAAAAAATTAGTAGTAACGATATGCATATAAGATTATTATCATTGACTCTATAATGATATTTATTGCAAAAATGCTTCTGACTATAATTATTTCATTACAGAGATAACACACACACACACGTATACACAAAATTTCCTTGGGTTCAATAAAATTTCTTTAATTGAAATAAATCTATTTCTTTGGAATGGAGTAAATAAACAAATGTTTGTCTTAATAAACAGGATTGTTTGGTTTTTCAAATAATAAAAATCTCTCTCTCTCTCTCTCTCTCTACGTCAAATAATATATTTCTTTTGTATTTTCGTCCAAACACTACAATGGTTGTCACGAGTAACAAATTATTTGAAAGATGTTAGAAAAATATTAATGAACTTCTTTGTGTGTAACATTTCATGGTAAATTATATTTATATTAAAAAGCCCCAAATCAAACAAATCCGCAGAAATCTTTTGCTCTGTGTATACGCAATTATAGTTACAAGTACTCTCTTCTCAATGAAAAATTGTATGTATGTAAAATATAATTAGGTGCCATCTGAAATAATTGCTCGTATAGCCAACAGGAAGCCGCTGAAGTGAAAGGCATATAATACCCGAAATTACATTTCTTTAGGGCATCTCCGGTAATTTGATTGTCATTTGAGCTCTGCAGTGCAATTAACGCGGGAATTAACGCGGCAGTCGACATGTTAAGAAACGGGCGCGCGTTAATTTTACTCGGCCGGAGGGGACGGGCGGATATCGAGGCGCTCCGACATGAAGTGTCTCCTGAGACTCTCTATGTAGGAGACCGTCGGCGCCGATGTCAACGCTCCAAATTCCGAGCGAGAGCGATCGTCGTCGTTCTTCGAAGCAGCAACGGCGGCGGCGGCGGTGGCGACGACGACGGGCGGCTGCGAGAGAGCATCCCGCTCACGATTCCGCTATAATTCATCTTCCGCGAAGCGCGGAGACGTTTCGGGCTATTCTTGGGGCAGGCGGAATCTTTTTCAGTAACTCCCCGATGGACCGAGACGACGCGTTGGAACGCGTGTCCTCGGTGGTATGACCAATCATTCGGAGCTTCTAGCTGTTTATCACCGCGCGCGTCGCGTCCGCGTTGCATCGGCGGCCGTGCGTGTGTTTGTTCTGCGTATCTGCGTCTCGAATTCGTCGTGGAAAACTTGGACGAGCCTTTATAGCTATAATAGCGTATTTATTATTACGTGCCCGCCGCTGGTAAACATTTAGACCGGCCGCAAACAAATCTCACGTACATAGGGCGTGACAATCGTTATTACCGCTCGGAATATCTTCGAAATATGAGAGTAAGAGGAAAACTTATCCGACAGAAATTGCATTGATATCGACGCTCACTTCGAACACCTTCACTGAAAGAGATCCCATTAAAATTATAGTCATTTACGGCCTTAACTATATCTTCTGTTGTTTTTAATCTAAAAAAATAGTATATGAGAAAAATAGTATATAGAGAAATAAGTTACTATGTAGACAGCAAAACGATTTGTTGATACGATTTGTTGTACTAATTGCCATTCGCTAAATTATTTTGCTGAATCTACAAATAATTTTGCCGTGAAAACAAATGTAAATATAGCAAATGTAGGAAAACACTAATCTTGTTCTTACAGCAAATTAATGTATTCTAAGGACAAACTCATTCAGCAAAATATATTCTATCCTGGCAACAAGTTCCTGGCTATTTCGGCCCTAATTACGAATAATTCGTTAATTTTGTTCGTTAATAATTAATTACGCCAATTACATTTTATCGCTGTCGCAACGAATATTCAGTAGCAACGATGGTTTCACTAAAAAAATAGTTCTTCTGACTATAATTATTTCATTTACGTGCGATTATAATTGCAAATACGAAACATTTTTTCTCAATGTTTTGTAAATATTTATACACTTTTTTCATCTCTTCATTTAGTCGTTAATGAAATATTTTTATTTTCTGAAGATATTCAGAGTGATAATAGTTCTTGTTTCACTTTGTATATTACATCCTCTAAATTTCTTGCAGCGGAATCTCACTCGAAATGCGAATGGAAATTCACCCAAAGCGACAGTGAAAATATCGACACTCGAAGCCACAAAAGTGAGTGTTTCTCTCGAGAGTGGATCTTTAATCCACATCGGTAAATGTTTCAATCAATTAGAGTGAATGTTTGACGATGAAGTACACGTCAGATTCATTCTTCCACTCTCACGATTCAGAGTGGAGAGAATTCGGTCTATATGAGTGAAAAGTCATTCGGCTTCGAGTGACTCGGCTGTCACTCTACTTCCCGAGTGGAATTTCACTCGCAGAAATTTCGAGAGTATTTCGCGCGAAAAGCATACGTGACGTTGAACGATTCGAGTTTCAGTTCAGCGCATTCTCAACGTTTGCGGGACAAGTGAGGTGTCCGGCGGTACCGACATTACGCAGTCTCTGCAAAATTTCTCTTGCATGTGACAAACAGAGAAAGAGAGAGAGAGAGAGAGAGGAAAGATATGTCCATTGTAAAATCGGCAACGTGAGTCTGAAGGATAACGAACGCGCGACCGTAACGGCGCCTCTCCTTCATTGTTCGCGCTCGCTGTTGAGAACGCGCACCTGTCAGTCAGCCGGACGGGAGGCTTTGTGCCGGTTATGGAAATTCGGCTGGTATTAACGACGTTCGTTTGTAAATGGAAAACCCGGTCGCTAGCTCCGTGGCAGTGTGTCGCGACGCAACGCGACGCGACGCGTTGCACGCTCGACGGACTCGGTGCGTAATCGTCTGCATCGCTGGCGCCATATCCCTACTTAACTCCTCACAGATTTAAATATATTCGATCAACTGGTCGCGCATACTATTAACGATTGTTCCATAAAAACGAGTCGTACGGGCGTGTACACGCGCGGAAAGTCACCGGATAGTAATAGTAATGGTGGTAGTAGTAACAGCAGCAACAGCGGTGATGGTAGTAGTACTAGTAACAGTAGCAGAATTAGTAGTAGTAGTTCCAGTTCTCGCCTCGCCTCCGTATTCGAGATATTTCTGCCGGTGGTTGCCACGAGGAAATACGCGCGTTTAAGTCGCAGCGATAAAGCGTAACTCGAGTTAATCTGAGTCTCGCATTAGAGAGAGAGAGAGAGAGAAACGCGAGATAAAAATATATACGAGACGTCGAAATAAACGAGATTTTCGAATTCTTTGTTAAAAACGCGGATTATCACAACGAATAATAAGGAACAATAACGTTTCCACGCCGACGACTACCGGTGTCGTCCAATTCTGCTCCGAACGACGCCATTCTAGCACGGTTCGTGAACAACCTCCTCCCTAAAGCCGAGCGGATACACGGCCGCCCGATCGTGCCACTCTCTCTCCCCCCCTTTTTTTTCATTCCGGACACGAGGCCGCCAACGGAAGTCTCCACTTTGGCGCGACGCGAAAACCGCTGGCGACCGAGCGGCTGCTCGACGGGAACACCTGCGACGAGCGACGACGCTCGTCAACGGCGTTGCGTCTGTCGGTGGGCGCGAGAGCGTAGCAACGACGGCCCTGCAAAAGCAGCTACGACGACTAGCGAGCGCGCCGGCGACGTGGCGGAGAGGGGAAGGTATGACGGGACAGGTGCGGCTCGTAACTTCCTGGATGATATCGGCCGGTCCGGACGCGCGACCGGCGCTAACGCTGACGCTTACGTTAGCGCTGGCGCCACTCGGATCCGCGCCGTAGGCGCCTGTCCGTCCCGCTGCCTCCCTCCGTGCCCCACTAAGCCCCTCGCGCGATCGTTCCCCTTTTGCCGCTCTCCGCACCGCAGTAGTCCAGCATCCGTCCGTACCTCTTTGGCCCGCGCCGTACCCGCACGAACGGACGCCCCCCCTTCTTGCTCGTCCCTCGGGCCCCCCTCTTGCGGCGAGCACCGTTCGGGCCAAGCATCGCGCGAGAGCGGAGCCGTCGGCGAAAACGACGCTACCTTTATTCACGCGCATCACCGGGACTACGTCGGCGGAACGACATGGGATAAAGCCAGGGTAGATGAGTAGATAAGAGCGTTTATTAACATTCTAAGGTTTACCCTGTAGAAATGCAGATTGCATGCATGCATGAGCGAAAGTTTGAAGACGAACGTAGAGATTGTACAGGGAAGAAATAGGCACGAAAATAAACGTGAGAATGAATATAAATATTGAGACAGAAAGAAAAAAAATAAAATTGTATCAAGATACATCATGATATAATGGAAAAAAGAGACATGGCCGAGGCGAATGAGTAGATACGCGCGTTTATTAATATTCAAAGATGTGCCGTCTAAATGCGTAGGTTACATAGATGAGAAAAATATTTAGATGAACTTAGAGAAATGTGGAGAAAAACATAAATACGGAAATGAGAATAAATATAAATATCGAGAGATAGAAAGAAGAATTAAAGTGAATAGATATAATGGAAGCAAGAGATATGGGAATGAGGGAGAGGGAAAGAACGAGGAGGACAGATGAGAGAGAAACAGAGAAGCGTGCACAGGGCGAGGAGGTGTGCGTGCATACGAAATTACGCTGCGGCGAATCTAATCTTCCAGCCGTTCTCTCTCTCTCCGGCTGCCTCCTCGATCGGCGATTTTCGTGCCGACGAAGCGCGCCACATCGCCACGGTAGGTGTACGGCGGGCGGAAAGGAATAGAGAGAGAGAAAGAGAGGGGGGAGAAGCAGGCAGAATAAAATTGTCGGCTGAAAAATCACGTACAGCTTGTAATTTATTCGTATTCGAACGCGCCGTTGTCGTCGAGTGGGGTCGCGACAAGAGGCACGAAGCGCCAACAACAAACACGCGATATCGAAGACTTAATTTTCGGAGATGACGCATGTGCGAGCCGGGAGCTCGGGCTGGGAAAAACCTCGCGACGGCGAGCGGCCAGAGGTAACGGGCCGTTCCCTGGCAGATAGCTCGTGAAAAAAAAAGGTGTATCGTAGGATACACCCACGTCGAAAGCGTCGTCATCTATCTAAACGTTGAACTCAGGAAAGTTCGACGCAGTGATAACATCGCGCTTCGTCTTCGTCGGGAACAACAATCGGCCGGTAATACGATCGGGAATATTAATGCTGTCTGGTGCGCTTGCATCAGATTTTTTTATACTATTAAAGAAACGTCTCTTCTCACATTTGCACAGTTGGCCGTACGATGCAAAAACTTGATCCTTAACCTTGCAGTTGATATTTTTATATCTATCGCGAATATTTCGTATCTTGATATCTTGTATTGAGAAAACAATTCTTGCCATTTGTTACACGCACATGTATTGCCGTTACTATTTTTCGATGAAAACCGGAAGAAGATACAGCTGAGCCTGAAAAATGACTGTAATTTTAGTGGAGCCTCTTTCAGTGTGCGAAAGAAGAAACTTGGTAATTTCGCGGAAGCTCTGCGAATGCGGTGAGAGATCGAGGTGCCTCATGAGCAGGCCGTGCCGATCGAGCGACATCGCGATCGACGACGAAGTCGGAGTCGGGAAATTCGGAGACTTACTTTTCGGAGTAACGACCGTTCGATCGTTGAACTTGGAAAAGAATTTCGGTGCAGCGCGCGACTGCGACACAAACTACCAAAATGTGTGTTAACTCGCGGCGTGTTCGATTGCTTTCGCTAGATGCGCTGCTATTACGCCGCGATACGCACGTTTAAATTTACACACGCTAAGTCTAAATACGGCGCGTCCATCACAGCGTAGATAATAGGGATAAAATAGATTCTCCCGTGATATTTACGCGTTGCGGCATTACTATATTTACACCTGCCACTCATGCTTTTTCAATTGACGGAAACTATGCGGGGTAACGATTACATCGATCCACCTTCGAGACGCATTCCGCAATCGGTGCCTGACGCAATCGCGCCTTTACGCGCGAAACCGCGCGCTAATCGCGCGATTCGATGATACCCGGCGTCGTTGAGGCGACGTTAATTTATTCGCCGGCTATTACGTAAGAAGGAAGAGAGACGCGACGTTGCCCGGCATAATTATCGCTTCCCAAACGCGGTGAAATATTCATTCCGCTATCACGGAGACCTACGGAGTCCTCGTTTTCGAGCCTGTCCTTCGTCAACCAAACGATGTCGCAATAATCATTTGCGCTCGCTTACGGCGTTCCTTTCTTCCTATTATCGCGTGTGTGTTTCTCGTTTTGTGTTATCTCGGGGGGCAAGGGGGGAAACTATGCTAAACTCGCAGCGATTAATTCACGGGTGCGTGAAAAAAACTCAGTTCCTCCAAACTAAACAGGGACTAGAGGAAAATTCGATGACAATAAAATATCTTTGTTATCGTGAGGACTTTACTATCGGCAGTGTTAACTCTCTAATGGTAAGCTTGTTATCGAATCCGACCCCATGTTCTGTTTTGTTTACTTTTCGTCTAATTAATATACAAAATGGGTGAAAAAAGTAAATAATAATAATAACATGAAACTTTTTTCTGTGTTTATTTATAAATGAAGAAATATAATAAAATTTAGCTTACTTCAAATAATTGCATTAAAATGCTTCGAAAAACGCTTTGATGTCTTGAAAATTTATTTCGCTATTAGAGAGTTAAAACTTGGTTGAGGCAACCGAGAACAATTGACTGAGTCGAAACTTCCTGTACACGGAGAAAAATCATTTTTCCGTCGTAACGAAATAATCATCGCTGCACTGAGAAAAAAACTCCTTACAAATTTATTTGCGGGATATAAAATTTATTTCGCAGAAATAAACTTTATTTCTGCGAAATTTGTTCTTTCAGCAAAATAATTTGTAGATTCAACAAAATAATCCAACGAATGACAATTAGTAAAAAGATCTTAACAAATCGTTTTGCTGTCTATGTAAAAACTGACAGACTTTGTTGCGACAATATAAAATTTGCCATATCAGCAATTTATTTCTCTCCGTGTAGGAATCTTCTCATTTCTACAATCGAGTTTTCGCCTAATCCCCGGGAGCCCCGGAAAACTTCAGTTGCACCACGAAATTGTTTCCTCCGTGTGCCAGGATGACGATGGATACATTTTCATTCTCTCCGTCGGCGCGTATCTCTATATGCTTTTCGGACAGTTTCCGTCCGCGTCTAATGTCCTCGACATTCCCGTAATAACGCTGAACTCACGTTGTCTCTTACCTGTTGCCGACTTCCCGCTATTGGTCGAGATACCGCGCACGTGCCACGCCGGCGTACAAGCCGCCGTCGCCGCTTGCTGATTGCGAGATCTCCGCCGTCGGAGAAGATCCCGCGTAAAATACGCCGCGCTGAACTTTTACTACGCGCTTTCGTTATCCCGCCGATTTAACGAGGCACACATATCTGAAACACATATTGACATTTTTCCCATATTCAGTCGGAATTCACGCGAGGTATCTCGAGTAGCACTAGAAAAAGAAAGACTCGTGGCGATTGAACTCGGCGTGATTGAGAAATAAATAGCAAACCATTTACATTCGATATGTATCCCCGGTATGATAATATCAATTTACTCTACATACACATCCAGTCGTTTATGTATTTTCGGCGATGCAACATGATTTTTAATCGACAAACAGCAATATATCATCACAAGGCTTTGTACCTCGCAATGGCATGAAAATCGCGCGTCAGGCTGAGCGCTCGACTTGAAGTTTGAAAGACCCCGCATGAAGACCCCGGGGTATCGAGAAGGTTTCGCGAGGCAGGCAGGCCAGTCTCAGAATCGCTACTCCGAAATCTCATACGAAGCTTAGACGCGAAAGAGGCCTGAGACGCTACGGTGGATGCGGAAGACGAGTCACAGCCGACGCAACACCCGACACGACTCTCCGGATCGCCGAGCGCCGACTGGCCGCGATGACGAGAGTCGCGCAATATGTAGCGCGTGCTAAAGCGTCCGCGCGGACGACTGGAGCCGTCTCTGCTCACCCCTGCGGCCGTCGTCGTCGTCGTCGTCTGCTCTCGTCTCTAAGGGCGGCCGCTGTGTTGCCGGCGCGCGTAGTGGTGCGACGCGGCGCGAATCCGCGGCGACACGGCGAGCGGCGGCGCGCCAGTAACGTGGCGACGCGGCTCCTGACGCCACTCGCCGCCGGCGGCGGATACGTGCGCGCTCCCCGTCGTCCGATACACACATGCTGCGACCGACGTGGCTTTACGTGCACGTGTGCACGTACACGTGCGCGCACGACGACGGGCACCGTGGTGGCGAGCGGGGGTAGTTCTGGCTGGCGCGCATGCATGGCCAACGAGAACGTTGAGACTGGTACACACACCAGGGTGCTTGACCGAGTCAAGCCAAACGACCGACGACGGCGACGACGACGACTCCGGGCGACTCTTCTTGCTCCCACGGTGGATAAACAATGTCATTTGCAGCGGCGGCGGCGGTCGCGACGACGGCGTCCCTTCGTTGCTCGATATTTCGCGCCCGAGAAGCCGGAAGAGCACTCTCTCTCTCTTTCTCTCCCCCTGCGTAGCGTCGCCGGGAATTAGAGTCGAGGCTGCTATAGCCGCACAGCTTGTGGCTGATTATGTAATCAGCCGGGTTTGCCGTACCGGCAACTCGGCTAGTAGTTCAAAATGAATAATTAATCGGCGTTTTGAAAATATCTCAGTGGGCTGGCTGTGAAAGGTGACGTGACGTCGTTACACTGAAAGGTTACACTGTGTCGTTTCGTTTGTAATATTAATCTAGCTATCTCCACACATAATCTCTTCCGTATTGTCATTTTTGCTACGTTACTTCCCCCGTGTACATAATTATCAGTTGATAATTCATTTCTTATCTCTTGTGTATTTAGTTCGTTTCGACTGAAAAGCGATTTTATCGATCGGACGTTTTTATTAGTCTTTATCAGCGCGTCGCTTAAAATTGCAATCTAATAATTCCCGCACCCTCTTTCATATAAAATTATTTTTTGATGATTGATCTTTCAGTTGACCCATTTCTATGTTAGATGATTTATTTCTTTTCTTATTCTATTTTTTTTTTATATTCAGGCCGTTTCGACTGAAAAGCGATTTTATCGATCGAACATTTTCAGTACTCGTCAGTGCGTCGATTATTCTCTCTCTTCACTCTCCTTGCGATCTATGAATCGCGGTGCGTTGTGATTCGAACGACATTAAAGTGATTCCCGGATTCGATGTGTACTCTCGGTTGTCGGTACTTTACGACGCGCGAATTAAACGGGCGGCCGCGACGCGCGAGCGAGACTTCCTGCGTCTTAATAGCGGGAAGCGAGTAAACACCGGTACCGTTCTCGTTTTCGCCGCGTCGCCCCGCGAGGCTCAGCTCTATTTCCGTCAAATATCTACACTTAAATCTTCCTCTCTCTTCGCGGATTGTGCTGTAGGAGAGGAACGCGGATAACGAAGAGGTGAAACGTGGCGGAAACGATCATTAGCGTTCTCTGACTTTGACGGATCTTTTACGCGCATTCTCACAAAATTCTTCATGTGAAATTCCAACGGTTTAAAAACGCGTGTCTCTTGACGGCGCCATTGGAAATAGGACTTTGAGCTTTACACAACAATCTTAAAAATCAGAAGAAGATACAGTCGAGTTGCCGAAAACGACTGCAATTTTGATGGAATTTCCCTCAGTGCGATCGAATACGAAAAATGACGAAAAAAACGATTGATATCGCGACGTATGTCAACACGTGCGTGCCACATGCTATTAAGTCCGCGTGTCGTCCCAAGCGAAGGATGGAGAGAATCGGCATCGAAGTCCCACTGTGACTTCTGCCCGGGGTCTATGTGCCGTGACCCGAAATTTCCGATCGCGCGACGCTCGAAAACCGCGCGTCTCCGGCGCTCCGGCACCGCCGCTAACGACGACCGTCTCTCTCTCCTCCGGGGGACTCACGTTCGGGACAACAAGTTAGAAAAACGGAATGACGCCGTAGTGTCAGGACATCAATTCTTTCGTAATGACACGGGCGCAGCCAGTCGGTCGGTCGGACGTCCGTTCCACCGTGGCGGTGGGCGGAGGGCAACGGTGATGATCCCGGGTCCGGCTCCGTCGGCTCCGTCCCGTTGTTTATCAAGTTCCCCTTCGCATAACAAGCATCAAAACACTTGGCGCCCCACGCTGGAGCCGTCGTAGTCGTCCTCCGCTTCACCCCCCCCCCCCTCCCC